TTCTGCTTTCTAGTATGAAGAGAAATTTATACACACCAATGAAGACTTGGAGAAGTTAAGAAGTGGTAAGTCCAAGTTCCTGAAGACCCTACACAGGGATGTCTTACAGATGTGTTAGACTCCATCATGTGGGTGTGTTCTTAAGGTACCTAGGGATGCCAGAGGGGAGAGAATAGGAAAAATAATAAAGGAGAAGGGCTCTTAGGGCAGATTTACTTAATGGTAAAAAGGGCTAGGCCTCTGAGTATTTGCTAATGAAGCATCCCCAATGCCTTGCCATGACTTTCCCTTCCTTCTCCACTTTTCTTGAGCCAAAGGGAGCTCAGGGTTCCACACTGCTGACTTGCTGCCTTAGGGAAGAACAAAGAAGCAAGCACAGCACTCACCTTGAGTTCTACTGTCTGGTGGCTTGACTAGTTGAATCCTTGATAATCCTTAAGGGTGTATAGTGAAAAGGTTTTGAAATACTGGACTCTCAGACTAGAGTGTGACAAGGTAAAGAAACAGAAATGCGTAGCAGTTGTGGGGCCTGGGACTCATGCCTTCCTGGGAGCCACTGCCTGGTGCTATGATTGGAAGAGCACACAAGAACCCTAGACAGAAATTGTTCTCTGGACCAACCTTGCTCTCAGTTGATCACCTTGTTGCATTCTGTCCCACTTTCCTAAAAATGGCTCTGAGCAGAAGTCAACAGGAAGAAACAAAAGCTCCTTTAGCAGATGTCTGGATGGTAACAGACAGACCTGAATGAGCAAGGCTTTGGGGAGTGGGAGAACTGTGAGATGCTTTTCCTTTTGTGTTTTGTAACTTTTGATTCTGAAAGCTCATGTATAATACACAGAGGTGTTTTTTTTTTTGGTGTTTTGATACAAGACTTTTCTGTGTAACAGTCCTAGCTATCCTGGTACTAGCTCTTGTAGACCAGGTTGGCCTTGAACTCACAGAGATCTGCCTGCCTCTGCCTTGCGAGGTGCTGGGATTAAAAGCATGTTCCACCACTGCCCAGATTAGAAAAGTCTGGATATTTTCAAAAGCTTTCTTTCTTTCTTTCTTTCTATCTTTCTTTCTTTCTTTCTTTCTTTCTTTCTTTCTTTCTTTCTTTCTTTCTATGTATGCTGTGTTCTGATTACAGGTGGTTGTAAGTCACCATGTGGTGCTGGGAATTGAACTTAGGACCTCTGGAAAAGCAGCCAATGCTCTTAACTACTGACCCATCTCTCCTGAACCCACTGATTTCTTTTTAAGTCTCTCTTTCTGTTTTCTTTTCTCAAAAGATGGAGTTTTGATGTTCCAACAAGTGCCCATGGTGGAGGTGGATGGAATGAAGCTGGTGCAGTCCAGAGCCATTCTCAACTATTTTTCCAGCAAATACAACCTCTATGGGAAGGACTTGAAGGAGAGAGCCCTGTACAGTATATTTCTATTTTGATATCAATCAATATCCTGATAGATCAATAGCAGGGGGTCATGTCCACCAGTAGGCTTGCCTTGGTATTTATCCTGGGTTGAAGTACAATGGAGTCCTAGGGAGATGAGGGATAAGTAACATTATATTGGATCCTGGTGACCAAAATGATAGCCAAGGATGTTCTGAGACACAGCACAGGGAGAGAGGCTTGAGAACTCTCATCAGCTTTGAATTTAGGAGAACAGTGAAACCATATTTCCAGGAGCTCAGGCTTTTCAGAAGCTGGATGCTCATAACATGAAGTCTAGAGATGGAGTGGCATTGGAAGAATTTCATTTGCCGACTTTTAGTGTCCAGGAAGGCTCATGGTCAGGACCAGGGAACTAAGCTACCAGCGAACTATACAGACTAGCCCGGCCTTAAGAACTGAGGTGCCCAAGATTCTGGAGTCCTGAGCCTCGTGTCACGTAGAACTATAGCAGCTCGACTGAGTCAGTGTCGCCAATCCTGACAGTTTGCTTCCCAGTTGTGCTAGAACTGTTTCAATAATGCTCAGTCAACTGTGGTAGCCAGGGACATAGCTCAGTCAGTAAAGGTCCTCATGTCCAAGCCTGCACATTGAAGGTGTGATATCCAGCACCCAAATAAAGGCCGTGTGCAACAGTATGCAACCAGTCTAGCAGAAAGATTTGAGCTCCAAGTTTATTTGAGAGCCTAACTCATTAAAGGTGGAACGCAGTAGAAAAATATACCTAAGATTGACCTCTGACCTCCATGTGCCATACATTGATGAGGAATAGGTAGAAACTGCTTGTTCATTCCTTTCTGCCCAGACCTGAAATAATAACACAGAAATTATATTAATTAAAACAATGCTTGGCCTATTAGCTCGGGCTTATTATTAGCTAACTCACATCTTAAATTAACCCATTCCTATTATTTTGTGTTTTACCATGAGGCTTATGATTTTCCGGTAAAGTTCCAGGGCATCTGTCTCCCTGACTGCACCTGCTTTCTCCCAGCATTCAATTTAGTTTTCCATCCCAGCTCTATTCTGTCCTGCCACAGGCCAAAGTAGCTTCTTTAATAACCAATGATAATAAAAGACATTAACAGCATACAGGGGGGAATCCCACATCAAGGAGGGCACACGGCACACACACACACAAATTTTTTTTAAAAAAGTAAAATCTGGTATGAAATGTTGATATGAGAAGATTCCAGATAAGTTCAATAGAGCAGATCTCAGAGACCTATTACAGCCAGCCTGTCAGGAGTTAAAGGGCATGGAGAAAAATGTGTGTCAGAAACCTGTGAGAGAAGTTACTAGACCGAGGGAGTTCATCACTAGAGGCTTGGTCCCACTGCACATGCTTACGGGGATCCCAAGGATAGTGTCAATCACTTCCATCAGGAAAACCACGGTTAGTGCAAAAGGTCAAGGTAGAGCAGAGCCACAAAGAAGAAAGGAGGGAGTCAGTTCCAGCCTCCCTAGAAAACCGTCAGAACACAGCTGCACACAAAAGGAAATGCAGGGGCAGGCAGCACAGCTAGGAAAACGGAACAGAACAGTGAGGGCGTGTTTGCATCTTGGTCCCAACTTGGAAGATGAATGGATGAAACTTCCCAGTTAAAAGATATGTTATGTGAAGAACCCACAGAAGGTCAAAACTAGGCATCACAGTACGACTTCAAAATGTGCCACACAGCGATGGCCTCCAAGCTAGTGTGAGACAGGCATGAAACCTGAGGCAGTGCAGTAGAATGGAAGCGAGAGCCTGGACGCACATGCATGTGTATCTACTCGGCCGCTTTGCATCAGATGCAAACACCTATGCTGGAGTCATGGCTATCTACATGCATGTGGATAAATTTAGACCTAAATGTGCCACACTTGGCCTAAATGCTATACGTTACAGAAAATAGCCCCAGAAGACTAAAAGACATATGCAAAGCTTGAAACTCTAAAGTGACTGAGAGAACTTGTAGCATTAAAAGAAATGTGCATTGTGTAGCAGGAACGGTACCAAGAAGCACCTGAGTTCTCCCAGGGATTGGCGAGCTCTCAGGTTTTACTGCTGATACCCACACCCTGTTTGTTCACAGAATAATCCAAAACAGATGAGGGACTCCATTTCAGTATCATTGGTAGATGCGTGAGTCATACCAAGGTCTCTCCTCATAGTGACTCTGGAGAAGTCCCCAAAGCTCCTAGTTATACTTGGCTGCATGTACAACAGAGGTTTTAGGCAGGTGTGTTCCTTACAGGCTTCTCTAAGAAACTAATTCTGCAAGTAAAGTCATAGCTAATGTCTGACACAGCCTGAAAGAAAGGGGCAGGAGGTGGGGGTGGTATCGACTGATGCTCTCTTCTCTGAGGTTTTCAAACTGAAGAATATCAGGCCGGACGTGGTGGACAGTTGTGGTGTTCTTGTCTTTCAGGATTGACATGTATTCAGAAGGTTTAGCCGATTTGAATGAGATGTTTATTCTCTACCCATTCGACCCACCTGGGGTCAAAGAAGCAAATATTGCCCTGATGAAAGAGAAAGCAACAAACCGTTACTTTCCTGCCTTTGAAAAGGTTTGCAGAAACTGTTTG